GGCGTTAGGCCAAAGGTGGTGAACTGGCTGTTTTCCCGTCAGTTTCGTTGTCTTTTTCAGTTTCAAGGGCACTAGCACCAAGTTCAAGGGCGGGTAGCGGTTAACCATCACAGGGGACCTCTTATTATCTGACTTGGTAAGAATTCGAGTCAATTGGCGTATTGATTGGTGCCGTTTCCTTGCCGCTATCTTGATGACTCTCCTCACCACTTGACAAAGGGCGGCTTTTGTGGTCGCGGCCGGGCTGGGTCTGCCACGAAGTCCCAGCTTATTACGCCTCAGGCAGATGTGCAATTGGCTGCTGCTGATGTCCATCTGCTGGCAGACCAGCTTCTAGCTCATGACGCCGTGGATGCCGCCATGCAATTTTACCACGAAAGGAGAAGTTGTATCCCTTTCTCGCAACTGCCTTGGACGAAAACTACCATGTGAACCCGTCTGTGAATCGACCCCTACTCAGAGCAAGATTTACATGACAAGGTCAGGTCACTGCTGAGTTGAAAACCGATAGCAGAGGCACGTATTCATCCAATATTCCCACTTCTAACATCAGAGGCCTGTTTCACTAACAAATAAAGTGTGTAATTACAAAGAAAAAACTTGAGTTTAAAAGAAATATTTACCAACATTTGAAATTTGGATTTCACGAAACCTCCGACCATGAATTTTGAGTTTAAAATTTACCAACTTTTTTACAAGAAAAAAGTTTGTAAGAAACATCGAAATCGCAAACTTTCTGTTTCACGAAGACCAAAAACTTGAAAAAAACGTTGTACTTACAAACCAGAAATTCCAGTGGCTCTTACGTTCGGAATTTTTTTACTTTTTGTGCAATGATGCAAAGCAATCAATTATTTAAAACAAATATGATATGCTGAGTCATTATATGCTCTTTTTTTACTTAGCACAATCCCTACGAACCAGCTACGAGCAATTAATAGATATCGTCATGTTTTGTCATTCGCGCGCCATAATTGCATTCAACAGTCTTCTGCTGTCAAATGTTTTGCGTGTTATTTTATTTCAATAATAAAATATTGTGAACTATCATTTATACCATTTAGAAACAGCATCATTATTTATAATTTATTCATGCATTTATTGACATGAATACTAGACATAATTTGATAAAAAGAAGCAATATCTGTAACATGTTGTAGTTCTTGATTAAAAACATTTTTACTGTTTACAAGTTTTTTTGCAAACTCTTTTTATCGGAGGTGCCGCTGGTGATGAAGTTTAGTGAAATCCGATTTTACATAGTTTGCAAAAATACTTATGAATTGTAAAGTTCAAACACTTGTAATCGCAAGTTTTTAGTGAAACAGGCCTCAGAAAGGAAACTGTTCAAACAGATATGGCGAAAAAATAGATGTCCGGATAATTTCGTTACACTCTGTACTGAAGTAGTTTTGGTGCCTTCCTTGCATGTTACGAAGCTGTCAGAGAAACAAAATTAGCATTCTGCCCCTCCAACTTTTGCTGATCTGTAGAACTTCGTTGTTTAGCAAACCAATCTTCAATCTTGTTCGCATTGAGGAGCTTTGAAATGTCTGTGTAATGCAAAATGTTAGTTCTGGAAATAAAAGACTTGATTCAGTGTTGCACATTATCTACCTTAACCACCGGGCATTGTAGGTTTGACGTTTTTTTTTTGCCCACCAACTTCCCTGGAAAAAACTCCACCCTTGCCTATGGGGCAAAACATAAGGGACAAAAACAAAACAAAATGAACTCATTACCTAATGAAGTTCAGGCTGGGGCAAAAACATAGGTAATAGGCATCTATGTCAAATTAGAATGAAAGATTAAAATCAACCTGACCAGGCCCTACGGTCTGACCTGATCCTAACACCTTACTTCGCCTAACTTAACCCAATGCAACCTAACCTACCACAACACCTGCAGAGGTACCTTACTGGAAAATGACGCCCAGGGTCATCATGCTCTGGTTTGACAAGTGATGTATAATAACTGTGCTATTTAATAATTGTCTCCTCTCTCCTGACTGTTGAGTGATCAGAAGATTCAAATAATCAGGGTACAATGCCGTGCATAGTGCACACTAATCATGTTGTTTTTGTCTAGGCCCTCCGTGCATTGTTGTGTGCACTGCTCTGTGCACCTTAAGTAAAAAAATGTGACTGGTGGTACATGACAAAAAGGTTGCGCAACTGTGAAGTTCATGCCCTTGGTCTTGCTGGTGCCAAATGCCTATAATAGCTATAGTAGGGTCAGTGAGGGTTGTAGTAGACATGCTACATACCTACACTGGTCTGTGCATTGAAGATATTGGCATAAAGTTGATCCGTAATTACTATGCTAAACACCTAAAGTAAGAAGAAACATAAATGCCCGAATGATACAGCTCTCTGGTCAACATCACACACATTTATTGACATACTTTGCAGGTGCCAGGTACATATTTACATTCATAGCAAATTCCTTCAGTTTGATTCAGTAACAAGGTGCTAGTGAGCTTGCATTTTTGAAGGTACAACAATGACCAAATATTAAATCATAAAAAACCTTCTTGTGGCATTCATCACATACCTTTTATCAAACAAGTACCTATGTACCAGGCAATGATTCTAAATTTTGTCCGCAATCCATCTATATCTCAACTGACACATTAAAATTGAAATACCCTAACAAAACCTAGAACAGCACATAAGGAGAATGCAATACTACAAGAACTATGCAGTTCTGAAGTTATTATCACATGCTGGAATGTTGAAACTCTACTTTTGTCGTTCATTTTCACGTTTGATTGAGCCATCATATCAATATATAACTGTTGACGCTTTTCAGTCATAAGCTTTTGCACAAATCTTGAATTTTTACCACATCATCTTGAACCATGCTCCAGTCTTTCCAACAAGGCACTATGTAACATCAAATAAATTTTGATTTGTTACAGCAGCTTCAGATCATGATAGGCTTGAGGTTTGTTACACCATTTGCCAGACAAACCTCTACAAAATGTGTATCAATTCCCAAACTAAGCAATTGATTATATCAGTATTTGCAGTTTCCACACAATGTTTCATAATGTTATTCTATTTTTATATCGAGAAACTCAAATAATCCACAAATTGTTAATGAGACACTCCCACTTCAAAAGTTCAAGTACCTACAAGTTCAGAAGCAAACAAACATTGCGCCAGATTTTGTATGAAAAGCGCCATCATCCTGCAGTTTCTACCACAGACGGTAGTTCAACCGCAGCCGTAGTGCGAAAACCCCTGCCCACCTTACCCCACGGCGGAGCTCGGTTGCAATTTGTAAATACTCCTCGCCGGCACAGGCCATTTTGCGTCCTTCGACGGCACAAGGGTTGATACGACCCCTTCCCCCTCGCGTTTGGCCCCTGATCGAGCTAGAGCTTCGCGGAAAAGACGAGCGTGTTGCCCGTCACGAGAGGAAGCCGATGATACCCAATTTTAAGGTCCTAGGTCATCGGGTGACCTTCCAGGTCAGGTCAATGACCCGAAAACCGGGAAAATCGGGACCTGTTAGAAAGTCGTAAAGTGTGGCTGCTATGTGGTTTTCCGGGGTGCTGATCACGAATATCGTGTTAGTTTTGATCAGAGATGATGTTTTTAAGCATTTAGACCAGGTCGGGTCAGGTCAGGTCAGGTCAACCGTTAGGGGTTGTGACGGGTATTCGTAATACGCGTCAACCGCCTCTGACAGCTTCGTAACATGTTACGAAGGCACCAAAACTACTTTGTAAATATTCAAATGGTTGCTAAATTCGAATTCAGCTCCAAAAACTAGCCTAGAAACATGTAAAACTCGAAAAAATGAACCGAGGTCACCCGAGGTCACCAAAGGTCAATGACCTGACCTGACCTTCAGGTGACCTTGACACCCACCCTAATGTATGGGAGCAACATCAAATCACATGTTTGAACGTTTGAAACCACGAAAAGCTTGCAAACGCGCGGCTAATGCGAGCCGACATACGCCGAATCGCGATTTCGGCCAAACATGGTCACGGAAGAGCTCACAGGTCAAAGGTCATTGGGGTCAGGGTCATGAAATTTTCAGGGAACGTGTATAATTGATCAATGCGAGGGTACTGAAAGTTTCGTCGCGATCGGCCGCTTTTTACGCGAGTTATTCGCAAAAAACCTTAGGGGGGGTTGCATCAACCCCCCCCCCCCTGTGCCGGCGAGGGTTAATGGGGTAGCTGTTCCGGACCGTTCAGGTGGGTGCCAGCGGCTCTTCAGGGGCGCCAGTGAACCTGGGGGTTCGGAATATTCTGGTTTCCAGAGGGGCGCCCTTCAACATTGGGGGGCTCAGGTCCTATTTGGGGGTGCCCTGGAGAACATTGGGGTGTCCAGGCACCCCCCAAAGAGATATTGAGTTCGATCCCTGCCTGCACATCACTTTTTACTTGATGTTCCCTCTGTAAAACGTCTTCAGCCTAGTCGGCGCTAATTGGGGCGCCATCTGGGCGGCTGGGCGGAAAGGGGGCCATGGCCCCCATGCCCCCCCCCCCCTGTCTATGCCACTGCAGATGGGCAATCAATACTGTCCCTCATCCTCCCCACCGTCCAGATCTGGCCATCTGTGGCTTCTGGATGTTCCCCAGACTGAGCGAGAAGTTCAGGGGACGCCAGTTGGAGGATGTGGAGGCGATGAATGAGGCTGTGACAGAGGCCCTGGGCACCTTCACTTTGAAGGACTAGCAGCGGGACTTCAGGAAGTGACCGGAGAGCTACAAGTGTATTGAACTCGGGGAGGTTTCATTTCGATAGTCACTGAAGTTTCATGCTTTTCTGAAACAACTAACTGTCTCTACTGAAAAAGTCTCAAAACCTCTGGAGTGCACCCTGATCGCCAGACTGCCAGTCTCTGAGTTGACGCTTACTGATTACACCAACTCGGCGGTGTGGGTTTAGTTCTGTTTGTGCCGTCGGACCCGATGTGATGTGCAGTGGGACGCGACCGTGTCGGCTCGCCGGTGACACTGACCCACGCTGTGTCCGCAGGCGGCGGCGGCCCAGGGCACGTACTGACCGTCCTGGACGGGAATCACCGCGGCGCCCTGAGTCGTACCACCGCGGCGCCTCTGTCCGTGTATCAGACGGCATTGCCCTCGGCAGGCCTGCAAGAACCGCGCGGGAGCCTGGCCGAGCTCCGGAGCGCCGCTGACGCCGGCCGAGACATGGTGTGGCGCGGCCGCGGCGCCCGTCGGCCACTGGGACGGAGCGCTGTGCCGCCGCCGCCGGCCGCATGGCGTCGCTCCACTGCATGGTGCGGCGACAGTCAACTGCGCTCGGCCTTAAGGCGGCACATGGTTGGCCGCTCAGTGTGTTGGTGTTAACTCGTGGAGCAGTGTGTCCCCCCCCCCCTCCCCCCCCCCCACACACACATCACCCTGCCGGCGGGCTTCCATCCGAACCATGAGCGACTTATCTGCACCGCCTGCTGCACTTATTGTTCATTGTGTGCCGCATGCGCCTTGTAGCGAATACAGATAAGCGTCCGCCACTGCTCTCTGAAATATCGCCGGCCGCCGCGTCTCCAGATGCCGTGTCCATATTTATGAGCCACTTGATCGTGACGGCTGTCGGAAGTTAGCACGACATGAGCGATCAAAAATGTTAATAAACAAAGCAAAACATGTTTCATGATACCGTAAAGTGGGGCTATTTGAAACGGATTTTACAGTTTTTGGCCTCTCCCTTTAAGGCGGTTCATATTTCTTATAGCATGTAAATTGCAAAAATGTAGTTCACTGTGAGCGCTTTCATATAGGTGCATTTTGCTTCAGCTTGTGATAATAATTAAGGATATTTTGTTAGTTAAAGCCTGTCTCAAATAGCCCCATAGGGTGGGGCTATTTGAGACAGTTTTAGTTACGAAGAAATTGAAGAAAATTGGTCACGCTAGAGATAATTTTTTAAACGCCATGCGATTGGAAATTAAATTTTGATCATTCTGGCAAAAATTATTTTTGCAAAGACAGTTATATTTCCTTTGTATTCGATCTTCTCCTTTTTCGTAGGATGCTTCATTTCGGTAGGTTATAAAATTGCATCACTATATGCTAAGGCTTTCATAATATGATGTGACCCTTAACTTTCAAAATGACAGGATGATCATTAAGGACCATTTCAAAGTCAACGACAGTAAAATTTTGAAAGAAGTTTTCGTATATAACCCTGGTGGCGTGAAAACAGATATACTGAAAGTCGGTGGGGCTATTTGAGACAGGCTCGTTACCTTATGAAGCACACTGTAATGAATCAAACGAGCTAAAATCTTTCCCAAAACATTTAAGTGAATGGTCTGCATGATTCCTTGTTCAATTGCACATCTTCGTGCGAAGAAATAACAGAAAAATGTTGAGCGGTTTTGATTTTATGCCGATTTTCCTCGATCGCTGCATGCTGTATCAATTGGCCGGTTACCCTACCACATCAAGTACTTGCATAGGCTCACCTAACAGGACGTTCTTGTGTTAAGTAATCTTCAATGGTGTTTTTGGTCAATCAAGGCAGACATGTGTTGATTGTCACTAAGTCAGTGACTGATGAAGTACATTTTAAGCACATATTCATCAGAGTAACTAGTTTGGTCACCAGCTAAAGGGTCATTATGTTATACTACGAACATGTAAATATTGCTTGCTGCTAAAAGTACCCAACATGAACCCACTGCACGTTTATGACCACGACCGATTCAGCGGTGTTGTTCATGTCGAACGTTCGATGCACTTCAAGTAGATGGTGATAAGTCTTCTCTGGTGCAATGGCATCACCATTATCAGTAGTTATTAGGCATATCGGTTGAGGTTTGACCAGGTGGGCATCATCGGGATTCTGAGACAATGGGTTACGCAATCGGCAGTAACGTTAGGAATGTATAATATTTTCATGAAAAATGTGCTTAGCCTATAAGTAAAACGCTAGTACAGCAATCTTATGTTGAATTAAGTAAGACGTTTTTGCTTTCTTTGCGATGTTGAACGGTAGTGATGATTGGCTTAGACGTACCAGGCAAGAAAAAAAATAAAAAATAGAACACGTGAATGGAACCAGCACGTGTGTTATTTTAAATATTTTTTGTCCCACTTATGTGCCAAATGTTCAAATACTGAGCCAAAAGAGTGTTTATGGATGCCATTCATTTCTGATTTCAACACTAGGTCCTGTTCCGAGCAGGAGGGGCATGGTCAATGGGTTACTGCTGATCGCCCTCCCTTCAAGAATATCAAACAGTAAATCGGCCGAATAAGGAAAAAAACTAGAGGGAATGTTTCACCCTGAGGCCTGAACCATCAATGAGACTAGTTGCCAGGAACAGTCATGACTGCAGGCCGTGGTGCCGAGATGGAGGTGGCCCGTCCACTCAGCCCCCGTTCACGAGCTCCAGAATCCCTTTAAAGGTGACGTCACCACGGCGGTAGAATCTCCCTTCACCCATAGGCATGCATGCAAATTTCATCATCTTTCGAGCGAGCTGGAGAAAAAAAAACAAGGATTATGTGTCCTCAAAAGTTGTACCAATGTAACAATTAGTTCGCCTCATTACGATAAATGGGGCTGAAACTACAGGGTGACCCAAAATTAATATCACACCCTCCCACAACCTTTAATCTGCCTTCTGCGGCGCAATATCAATATAATTTCGCCGGTACTGGCTCCCAGACCATCTTGGCTACATTATAGTCACGTGACCTTCGAATTTTTGTGACCCTGACCGGTCAAGGGGTGTACGGAGGTCATTTCCGGGCCAAGTGTATTACACGAATCGGCCCACCAACTAGCGACATCTCTAGTGCGACGTCATAGCCATCCGACGCGACAATACATGCATTGAGGCTAGATTTGAGTTGAGACTTTTTTGCAATTGTATATGGCTAATGGGCATTTGATGTGTCTTCGTAGCCGAGTGGTTAGAGTCTCGGTGTGGTGAGCGAAAGATCGGTGGAGCGATTCCTGCTTTATCGGTTCTTTTCTCTTAAAAAGAAGTCGGTCGTAGAGACGCATTTTTGGCCCCTACGTTCGCACTTCGCACGCCAATATCGTACGCCCAATAAATCTATGACAAGTATTCATCTGATTAAGGAATAAGTTGCAAAAGAACTGCAGTTGCAGTCTATACCTGTACTACCAATTTTGTTACGGCACTGTCGATATTCGTCAAAGTCGGAAGAGCTATTATGAAACACACTCAAATGACAACGGATTCCTGTATCATTTCATCGATCAGATAAGACATTTATAGAGATAAATTGATGACAGCCCGCCGTGAGCATGCAACTTAACAATCAGTCCCAAGCTATCTTCATAAACGTCTAATATAAATCTTTTTGACCTTAACTAGATTCCAAGTAAGGGGATTTAGGTATCCCCCTGGCGGCTGAAATGTAAAAGTTATAGTTAGGGCATAGCTCCTATAGATGACGCTTTTTGATGGCTGGAAATTGATAATCTCGTCCCGTGATTACGCTAACAGCTATGCCGAACTTTTTTGTGCATGGTGATTCTTACACGAAAAACTATCTAATAGCCTGCTAACCAGCGTGCGATTTTTACTTTTCATCTTAGTTTTCGCTACTTTTAGGTACTTTACCTTGCCAAGTGCCCATCTACTTTCAAAAGGTCAGCGCCGCCCCTGTCATATCCAGCAGGAGCTGCGTGCTGTCACCCATTGGCAGTGAGAAATATTGATCAATGGCCATCGCCCAGCACCATTTGTCTTTCCATTGGCTACGTTCGCATAGTATGCACTATGCATTAGTGATGTCAATCACAGAAAATCAGAACACCGATACCAAACCAAATACATACAAACAAAGACCATTGGAAGATAGTAACGATAGATCCAGTAGCGAAGCTGTCAAAACTTCAACCATGTTAAGCTGCAGGTAGGGGTCCTTTTCGAGCAACTCAAATTGTGCGTTTTTCTGTATTTCGTATTCTATGCCAAATTTCTTTCAAAACTTTTCGAAATTTTCAAAAATGTTATTCAGGTCATTCACTGTTTAATCCCACATCAGCCTAAGCAAAAATGACGAAAAAATAACAAACGGTTTTCATTTTACAGCGGTTTTACTAAATCACTACCTTACTGTCTCAAATAGCCCCACTGTCTCAAATAGCCCCACTTTACGGTACACGATTTTCAAATAAAGAGACATTTTGTGACAGTTATTTTTTGTTTTTCACACATGTTAAAACGAGGTTCTTAGCGAGTAGAATCCTCATTGCGGAGAAGCAATGTACCATGTTTTTTTGTTTGTTTTGTTTTGTTGGGTTAGGCCCTTTCGGTCTGACAAGACCATTTCAGAGCCGGAAGGATGATAGGAATTAGGGGGAGACATTGGTCTGGGCATGCACCCTAGAGAGTCGCCGGGGCTGAGCCCGTCCAAATGGACAGGCCGACCAGCCCCCCAAGCACTCTCTGCACCCGGCTACGGGGTGCAGCTCCCTCGGGAGCAGCGGTGCCGCTCCAAGGGAGCAGCCCGCATGAGATAAAGCTGCCTGTCCAGCCCGGAGAGGGTTGCGGCGTTGAGGAAAAGGATTTCAGTATCCTGAGGATAGAAGCACGGAACGGTGAATGTACCATGTTCCGTACTCCTAAGCTTAACCCGGCCCCCGCCGAAGTTAGTTGGTAGCACTGCTGCTCCACGGCGTACATTTCCTACCAGCCCATAGGGTTTACATGTTAAATGGCCTGCTTTCGGCGAGCGATATCTCGGTCAACCTTTGAAGGAATCAATGGTTCTTAGTCTCAAATGATAGATCGATGAATTTTCTTTCGACAATTCCTCTACCATTTTTCACGAAACCCAGCCGATCTTCTACGGCGTACAGGGTAAAGATTTCTCTGCACGCCAGCACCCGCGATCCGCCTCTCCGATCGTCGGCGCGCGGTCCTCGGTAGCGCAGTCGGTAGCGTATCGGGCTACGGATCCGAGGGTCGTGAGTTCGAATCCTGGGAGCGCCGCGTGATTTTGGCTAGAATTGAATGATGTAGATTCTTGAATGTTTGCATTATCAATTACACTATGCAACAGTCATTTTGTTCCTGAGTAACGACCGATTTTTTTGAACTCATTGGGTGTCATTATAACCGAAATGGGCATTTGTTTTGATCTGAAAATGCTTTTCCGGTTTTCAGAGACGATTTTCGATTTTTGACCCCGAAATTCGGTTTTTGGCCCACCGTGTCCGGTGTAATTGAGTAATCGACTCGTGGTAACTTTCATCGCCTTTCCTATGCCACAAGCTTTCGAATGATATCCGGTTTTGCATATTTGCGTGTAAAAATAACCTCATAAATCTATGTTAAAGTAAGGAAATGTTGGAATTTTTTTAAAATTTTGACATTTTTTTCTATTTCATTTCAAAATAGAGAAAAAAAACTAAAGAAGCTATCCAAATTCTGAGCCCAGTTCCTTGAAGAGCATTCAATTTCCGTTCGGAAGGTACTATTTTAGTGCATTTTATCGGTTTACTGTGGCGTCCAGATTGAGTCAC